CACACACACACACACACACACACACACACACACACACACACACACACACACACACACAGATCATTGAAATGACTGCCAGAATTGAGATTTAAGCTTCTGCGTCTTTGCAAAGGCTTGGTGATACATTTTTCCATCCTCTGATTGGTTTATGAATAGTATATGTTTCCAGTTCTGATTAGTTGAACCAATATGGGCCCCAAAGGACAATGTTTGACATCATTCGAAATTATTTTTTAAAGCGCACTTTTCAAACAAAACTGGACTTTATGAGGGTTGGTCAACCAACAGTTTGGACAGTTTGTTTCAACTTGGAAATCAAATTTTAGGAGCACTTTCAGAGCAGCATGTATGCTACAGCCAGCTGTGTGTGTGTGTGTGTGTGTGTGTGTGTGTGTGTGTGTGTGTGTTGGGGGGGGGTTCCTAATGTATTGCATGATTGATATTTGTTGTTGTTAATCATCAGAAAACGATCTTTATCTTTGTTACCTGACTCTATTAAGTACCAATGCAGTTGACGCAGTTAAGAGATATTTACGTGATTGATTTGTGAATAAGTGAGCTGCATACCCGTCAACTCATACGGTTTACCCTTAGTTCATACGGATTTTGTGGTGAATCTTACGTATATGGCCATATCGCACAAATCATACGGATTGTGAAAATTTCCGTTTTTTTTTTTTTTTTTTCCCCCTTAACAGGTAGTTCCGTTTGCTTTTGCCCAGAATGGTGCCAGTCTACTCGAATGCTTTCATTTCCGGTAACTTTCCAGTAAATCACGTGGTTCCTAGTTGAAAACAGCAGAGTATTCATTGCATACTTCGGTAGTGTACAAGCAAGTTCTACAAGGAAACAAATATATCATTCATATTCCGTGGGGTTTTTTTCTGCCGTTATTTTGACATAAAAATGCTTTGGTATGTTATAAGGATTTTTTGCTCTTTATAAGGATTTTTTTTGGTAGTTTATGCAGGTTGGCGCTCCGAAAAGTTGAAAGGTATGGAGCTGGATTAATCTGACATAAGAAAGCCCTCATGTGTGTGTATGTGTGATTTATTCCTGGCCAAATTTTGCAAAACGTGCTTTTTTTTGGGGGGGGACAGTGACGAAACATAGGGAAAATACAAACATGTTTTTTTATTGTTGTTGCTTTGTCATGTATTAGCGTGCAATGCACATTGTAATCCGTGAAGTACTGAGCGGCCACCACCACACCGCACAAGCAAACAAACTACAAAGTGTGCTCACGCAGTCTCAGGTCGACAGTGACGTCTTAAATGGAAATATGTATTCTACGCTGTTACGATTCCAGCAATTGGTTTCTCGTGACAGTTTGAAGGAACAGTGAAGGGGAAAAATAACAGCTCTGACACCGCTGTTACATCACAGTGTGTGGTTGGTGATATGTATCATGACATAACTTCCTGTGGGGAAAAAAAGGCTTACCAACCAAATGGTATGATCGTTAATTATACTAATTGTAAACTGCATGGAAGACATTTTGATTTGACATTTGACATCAGCTACTGAAACATTATTTTCTATTATCTAAAGCACTTGTTTTTCTGTTGTCAACTTTGACACACCGTTTTCTAGATCTTTGAAACAATCAGAATTAAATCTTCTCCTGAGGTTTATAGATAATCTTTTATCATCTGGTATGCTCTTTCTCATTAGTTGAAGTAAAACACAGGTCGATGTTATGGCAATACTTGATGTATTCTTGCGTGATCAGGTCCTGAACCAAATGTGGGTCCAGACATGAAAATGACTAAAATACGGATCTGCGTTCTGAACAAATGTACGGAGCCCCTAAAGGGACATGGAAGGAAAAAAAAACTTTGCGATATCTTGCAAAGTAATGCAAAATCTCACAAAGTATTGCGAGATCTCGCAAAGAATGCGAGATCTTGCAAAGTTTTTTTTTTTCCTTCCATGTCCCCCCCATAGGGGCTCCGTACGTCAACATTCTCCAAGCTGACCCGGAAGTAGATCAACGCGCATTAAAAAAAAAGATTGCTAGATCTCGCAATCTTTGCAAGGGAACGCAATCTTTGCGAGATCTCGCATTCTTTGCGAAATGTTGCAATACTTTGCGAGCTCTTGCATTACTTTGCGAGATATCGCAAAGTTTTTTTTTTTTCCTTCCATGTCCCTTTAGGGGCTCCGTACAAATGTCAAACTTTCTCTGTATCTCATCAAGTGGCCCTTTACTGCAACCACCAGGTCAGTATCGGAACTACAGCAGACATCTTTTGGTGGGGTGCGCTGCTGGGTCATCATCGTCTGTATAACCAGCATTACAGTATCTGCTTTATTAACTGTATAACCATCCATCATCCAAACCGCTTATCCTCACGAGCGTCACGAGCGTATTGGCACCTATTCCATCTGTCTTTGGGCAGGAGGCAGCTTTAACATTTGTTTTCCCTCATCTATTTGCTCAGAAAACTATGAAAGAGTGCAAACTCCATACGTGGAAAAAAAAAGTTTTAGAGTGGGTTGTCGTTCCAACGACTTTGTAGTTCTAACAACGTGGCCCAGTTAAAAAGGTTTACGCCACATTGGCAGTTCCACCTACAGTATATCCGTAGAAAACAGACGCGGCCACTCATAAATGTTAAACCAGTTCAGTATTTATCATGGCATATTGTATTCTTATGTGCCATCAAAAGTTCAGCCATCCAATGGACTGCATGATTTTATTTCCGTTACGTGTTGGGTCTCTAACACACACACACACACACACACACACACACACGCACACACACACGCACACGCACACGCACACGCGCACGCACGCACACACACACACACACACACACACACACACACACACACACATTAAGATAAGAAGCAGGATGTGCATTCCCCACTTTAGTCTCAAGTTACGTTTTAGGGTGCAAAAGGAGTTTGTCATGTTCATGTGTCAGGACTAATAGAGAGCCTCACATCTGGAAAAGTCTTAAAATTATATGGGAGGAGTGAGTAAAAAATAAAAAATACACTCACACCTCGGTTTTTGACCATAATCCGTTCCAGAAGGCTGTTCGAAAACCGATTTGTTCGAAAACTGAAACCAAACTCTTTAAAAAAATAAAATAAAATCTTTATTGAACATGTCTAATCACAATGGAACGCTACACGAGGAAGCATCACTTCCTCGTCTACCCGAGGAAGCGTCACTTCCTCGTGTAAGGAAGCCAAGAGGAGTCAAGTGACGCATTCAAGTGCGCTCAGTTTGGTCAAGAACTGATTTTCGGTCGTAATCCGAGACATAAAAAACTCGAAATTTTTGGTCGAAAACCGATTTGGTCAAGAACAGAGACGTTTGAAAACCGAGGTTTGACTGTACATGAAAAAAAAACAGGGGCTAAAACACTTTACTCTGTGTAAACCTTTTACTTTATTGCTTTTTAGAAATAAAGGCAGATTAATCAAAGAGTCCAAAGCCCATGTCTTCATCTGACTCTTCCGATTCTTCCTTCTTCTCTTCCTTTTTGTCTTCCACTGAAAAAAAATGGTTACAGTGAAGATCGTTTATATCTGTGTGTTCCCCAGAATAATATATACACAAGATAACCAGTTATATATACATACCAGCAGCAGGTGCAGCCCCAGCGCTAGCGGCACCACCTGCAGCAGCAGGAGCAGCCACAGCGCCACCCGCTGGTACGGAGGCTAACTTAGAGAGGCCTGCAAGGGAAAGGTTTTATTTTGGCATTTCCTGATGCAGCATCTTCAAATCTTTTTTTTTTTTTTTTTAAATGAGACATTTACCTGAATTCATGACTTCATTGATGTTTTTCCCTTGCAGCTCACTAATGACCTGCACAGAAATACAACTGAGATTAAAAAAAAAAAAAAAAAACAAAGTTCCTTAAATAAGGGGTTTACGGTCATTACTACTTACCGGTAAAAATGTTAACTTGGGCTATTCAAGAATAAATCTAGAATGTACGACAACTTCGGAAGACCCAGATTTAATTTTGTTTTTCAGAGTCTGTTTAGAAACCTGAAAAAAGTCCAAGTGCCATAAATGCTTTAAAAACTTGCCTTGGGGAATACTTGAAGAGGGTATTTACACTTTATTTCACAGATTTTCACTGTGGAGTCTGGAAGATAACCCCCGTGGTGGAAGAGGATAACTTTGTTTATCCTAAAGTTTTTAGTGGTTGTGAATATTGCAAAATTAACTGCATACCTTGTTTAAGCGTTCATCATCAGCCTCGATCCCTACACTGCTCAAAATGGCCTTGATGTCCTTGGCCGAGGGGCTGGTGTTCCCACCAAGCACAGCCAACAGGTAAGCGGCCACGTAACGCATTCTGTCAACAACAACACACGATCCAGTTTAGCCGACATCTTCCCCCCCCATAAATATTCAACACAATAGTTTGTAGACCAATCAGAAATCATATCCTGGGAATCAGTTACTTATTTTGACCAATTTTCAGAAAGAGTAAACACTCACCAATTCGCTAAATTGCCTTCTTGCTCTTTTCTCAGTATAAACATCTTGTCGTAATTCCACATCTTATTCCAGTGTATTTTTAATATTGATTAACATCATGAATCAATGTGACAAAAGGATGAAAAACTACATTTGTTTTAGACTCTTTGCATTGAGATATGCAATGCTTTTTATGGCCAACCATGTGAGGTATGGTAATAAAAATTACCATGATCTCATCTCGGTAACTGAGAATCTACACAGACAACTCGGGCAAACTGACATGCCCCATCTTTGTATAGGCACTTCCCAAAGGTGTAGATTATTTTTTTTTTTTTGTATGAACTTAAAAATATTAACTGAAAATAAATGTGAAATTTAAGGGAAATTTCATAAAAACTAATGTCTGAATGACGTAGGTTACAAAGATCTTTTGAATCCTTGCCGACCGTCCCCCCCGGTCATCCTGAGAGGAGCAGTTGTTCGAGTGTATGGAGTATACACCATCAACATCTTTGTAGAAACAAGCGTAATAGAACAATATGTAAGCGGTAAGAATGGCAGCATGGCGGTGGACTGTCTTCCGCGTCCTCCATTGCTGACACAAAACAAGTCGGCATTACGCCCCAGCTAAAACCTTGTTTATAGACCATGATAAGGAGGTATGGAGTATATGTTTCCCTAATAATTTTAACGTTTGCCTACAGCAGCGTACACAAGACAAATAATAGTGGTTTTCACTTACTTTAAGTCTGAAAAGACACGAAACGTCGGTCACGCTCGGAAATCCGAAAGAGAGGGGGAAGGAGGGGGTGTTCCTAAAAAAATGTAAGATTGGGAATCTGCAATCCAATTGGTCCTTTTAGACGTCAGTAAATGCGTCATGATTTCTGTGTTGTGCTGCATTCGCCGAACATAGGAAAACTGAAATTTCCTGATTTCCGGCCGGGAAAACTTTGCACTGGGAGATCCGAGTTGTGAAGTCGCAAAAATAGATCCCGACTTTACTGGGTGCCAACAGTTAGCATGGGGAATGAGAAGAGGCAGGACACAACAGCAGCAAGATAGCAAGATGCAAAAGAACGAAACAAGGACAGGAGAAGAAGAGTAATGTTGAATCTGATTCATCACATTTGAAGTTGTCGAGTGAAGGAAGTGTATATTATAACACTGAGCTCAATTTACAATACAGGTACTTGCCAACCGAGGAACGCCCGGGTGAGTATATTTTCATAAGTATTATAGCTTTATAAAATAGTCTTAAAGCTGATATATTTGCAGGGAACCATGACTTGGTCTGCTGTATGAGTGGCAGCAAATGAAGAGGAGTTGTTATGCCCGCCTCTTTATGACACTGGCATAGATAGAAAAACAACAATAAGAGTCTTTAAAAAATGCAATAATAATACTGTCGTAGTAATTAAAAATAACGCGGTGAATATAGACTTTAACTTTGAACTACGAGACGTGCGGTGATTAATTTTTCAAAGTCAACGCATAATGTACCGAATCGAAAACTGTGAGCACAAAACCGAGAGCCGAACTGCGGATTTGGTGATCCATTCCACCCCGAGTACAGTACTGTAATTCGTTTTTACGGATTTCCTTCAGATGAGGAGAGTCAACGTCGTTGATAGGTCGCCATCTGCAGGGACAACTATGAAATTGCACATAACACTGGTGTGTGTGTGTGTGTGTGTGTGTGTGTGTGTGTGTGTGTGTGTGTGTGTGTGTGTG